GTATCTGGTGTTCCAGAAGCGCCTCCTGCTGTCAAAGAGTGAATCTGCATCTCATTCAGAGCATCTGCTGTTTGTTTCGTTCAGGCATGTAGTATAATTTCACAAAGCTAGTCAGAACATAACATTCTGGTTTTGCTTAAAATTGGGTTATTATTAAATCAAATTATGTATATGAAATGATATAACTAAATGATATGAAATTATATAAATGATATGTATATGAATTATATAACTAAAATGAAATAACTGTAATTACAGATTAGGTTAAATAAAGAATTTTTCTACTTTAGGAAACAAATCAAAGAAAAACAAATTCTACTGTTCCTAATATTCTCTATTTTGCTCAAAATATATTGTGTTCAGTGGAATTTTTTTTTTGTTTTTTTCCCCAGTCATTTAAAAATAACACATTTTAGAGCTGTAACGACAATACCGTGATACCGTAATATTTTTGCTTAAAGTTATCATACCGTCATTGGGTTATTATTCAATCAAATTATGTATATGAAATGATATAACTAAATGATATGAAATTATATAAATGATATGTATATGAATTATATAACTAAAATGAAATAACTGTAATTACAGATTAGGTTAAATAAAGAATTTTTCTACTTTAGGAAACAAATCAAAGAAAAACAAATTCTACTGTTCCTAATATTCTCTATTTTGCTCAAAATATATTGTGTTCAGTGGAATTTTTTTTTAGTTTTTTTCCCCAGTCATTTAAAAATAACACATTTTAGAGCTGTAATGACAATACCGTGATACCGTAATATTTTTGCTTAAGGTTATCATACCGTCAAAATTTCATACCGGCCCATGCCTACAAGAACAGCCAGGCACAAGAACAGTTTTTTCCCACAGGCTATATTCAGCCTGAACAATTAAACTATCATAATTATACATCGTCCATCACAACTGACATATTTACACACAGAATCCAAAATTTGTACACTTGTAAACTGCACACTTTGTAAATAACATATTTGTACATTTATTTAAACTACAATTTTTTCCTATACTTCTATTCTGTATATAGTACATTATTTAATTCAGTTTTTTCTTATATTAGTGTTATATTCCATCCCTACTGTGGTATTGCACAAGATATCTGCACTATGTCTGTACTTTCTTCTGCACTGGAAGCTCCTGTCCTCAAGTCAAATTCCTTGTGTGTGTAAACATACTTGGTAATTAAGCTCTTCGGATTCTTACCCCACAGGCTATATTCAGCCTGAACAATTAAACTATCATAATTATACATCGTCCATCACAACTGACATATTTACACACAGAATCCAAAATTTGTACACTTGTAAACTGCACACTTTGTAAATAACATATTTGTACATTTATTTAAACTACAATTTTTTCCTATACTTCTATTCTGTATATAGTACATTATTTAATTCAGTTTTTTCTTATATTAGTGTTATATTCCATCCCTACTGTGGTATTCCTATGTATATCTGCACTATGTCTGTACTTTCTGGAAGCTCCTGTCCTCAAGTCAAATTCCTTGTGTGTGTAAACATACTTGGTAATTAAGCTCATTCTGATTTACTCAGTATTTACTAAAAAAAGCTCTTCTAGCATTTATGTCTGTATATTTATCATGTTGGCTTTTGCTGGTTCTGAACGAGCCTACAAACATTTAATTTGTAACGCATATAATGCATGTATAAATATGAAAACCAAATGTAAAGGGTTCATATAAACAGAACTTTCATAATTGGAAATCTGATTGATGAAAATTAGTGCATATAAACATACCTAGTGTAAATAAAGTATGAAATCCAAAAAAATCAAGACTTTAAGGTAATACTGATTTTGGAACCCATTGACTTCATTATATGGACAAATGAAACCAAATGTCTTTTGTTGTGCTCTGCAGAAGAACAAATGTTGAAGGGGAGTAAACGATGACAGAATTTTCATTTTTGGGTGAACTATGCCTTTAAGTTGGATTATGGTTATCACATGATTTATGGGTAATATATGGGCATTCCAGCTGCTCCAGTAAGACAGAAACACAGGGGTGAATACGAGAAGACTAAAAATTACCTAAACAGTGAAAGTTGAACAATCCACACCTTTAGCGTTACACAGCCTACAAGTTATCTTGGGCCATCTGTTTGTGTGCGGTAGACCAAAATGATTGAAAAATATAGGTCTAGGCTATATGACGGCCCAATGTCAGGCTGTTATCACTTTCTCACATAGCCTGAACCGAAACGGTGTGCAGGAGCAGTGAGATCGTATCTGTGCACTGCAGAAGCGTGCGTGAAAAAGCAAGGGATTCGAAACAGAATCTGATAAAGTAGAGAAGAAAAAAAAAAGTAGCAAGTGTCACATGCAGATAGCTAGCTCTTGAGCAACAGTTTAGGTGAGTGCATCCATCTGTTGTTGTGGGTAATAAGTCCTCAGAACGAAATCTCTCCCCGAATGCTTGCTCAGTCTAATTATAATACACCATTTGTTTAAGGCCTGCCAAATACGTTTGTTCAAGGACTACGAACTGATGGCATGTTTGTTTTTTACTAGAGTGCTACAGTGCATGCCTACTTTTTCAGCGGCCTTGGTTTCTAAGTATTTTACCCACTCATTTTTCCCATAGTGATTTTAAAAGGTCTTGATTAAAGAGTTATAAGTCATGAACCAAACCAGCCAGAAGGAGAATCCCAACACTACACAACCGACTGTGTACTTAAAGGGATAGTTCACCCAAAAATTCTGCTTTAATTAATTGCTCACCCTCATGTCGTTCCAAACCCGTACGATCTCCGTTCATCTTCAGAACACAAATTAAGATATTTTTGATGAAATCCGAGAGATTTCTGACAACTTTGTTCAACAATTTCTTCTCTTCTGTGCCAGACTTCGGCGTGCGTACCACGATGAATTTCCATTTTTGGGTGAACTATCCCTTTAACAGCTTTAATCCGGGAAATAACTACAATCCCATGAAGCATTGTGAAAGACAATTGAATGAAAATCAATGGAGAAATACAAAACTAAAATATAAACATAAAATTGACCTTCATTATTAATATAGAAATAAAAGAGTTGAAATAATACGCAGACTGCTGATTTCAACAACAGCTAAAAAAAATAAATTCCCTTGAAATGAACAGGATTTTTAACTGATGTCTGCTGATATTTACATGAAATATAATGAAATCTAGGTAAAAAAAACAACAACAACAAAAACATAGAACACACTACGTTTATGTTCTATTTCAATACAACTGAATGCATTATTGGCATCCTTTAACAGTCTTTAAAGGGATAGGATTTTTAACTGATGTCTGCTGATATTTACATGAAATATAATGAAATCTAGGTAAAAAAAACAACAACAAAAACATAGAACACACTACGTTTATGTTCTATTTCAATACAACTGAATGCATTATTGGCATTCTTGAACAGTCTTTAAAGGGATAATTCATCCCTAAATGAAAATTCTGTCATCGTTTATTCACCCTCATATTGTTCCAAACCTGTACGAGTTTCTTTCTTCTGTTAAACTCATAAGAAGATATTCTGAAGCATTGCTGCTAGCCATCGACTTAAAAATATATACAGTATATACTATGCAAGTCAATGGCTTCCAGGAACTCTTTGGTTACCAACCATGTGGAAGAAAGAAAGAAACTTAAGCAGGTTTGGAACAACACGAGGGAGAGTAAACGATGACAGACTTTTCATTTTGGAGTGAAAAGAAGATATTTTGGGGAAACATCTGTTTTTCGGCCATGCAGTGGAACACAATGGGAACCAAAATGATTTGATTACCAACATTCTTCAGCAGTCTTACACTTTTGAAACATGACTAAATTATGGAGGAGGAGGAGGAGAAGAAATAAAAAAATACTGGGGAGGGAACTATCCCGTTATCTTAAAGAGGTGTGTTGCAACTGGTTGCAGGCCTTTGATGGAGCAGAAGAGCTTGATTTCTACAGGACCAGAGCATTTCCACAGCACTGGACCAGCTAGTCTTTCTGACTAAGCAAGCGGTCGCACTTATGATGCACTTCGGCATGACTGTCTGTGTGTGTGTGT